TTATAGAGTATATTTTTTTGCCATCCACTGCTCCATAGGAGAAAGTGCCTTCTGTACATGGCTTCCATTTTAACATTAAAATAACACTTTTCTTAAATTACAAAAACAACAATGGGCTGAGAAAGGCACACCATTTCTGTGGGAATCTTTCTAAAAATGTTACCACTTCATTCAAATCCTCAGAAACATCAGACAACACTAAGTGAGGGGAAATCTACGAAGTAAATGACAAGCACTCTTCAAAATCAGTATGTTCATGTCATGTAAATTAGAAGATACCAATAACCAAACCTATAATGACCATTAACCTCTTAAAATATCCTAGACTTTTGTTTGCCTTTACATGTCCATAATTTTTAGGAAATAATATATTGTGTCTGTGGTAACTGAACTGCAGACACATTTCTCTAAAAAGTAAATAAAAATGGTCTTTCAAATGACTATCAAAATTTGATCCTTTTCTTCCACCCAGTAAAGTCCGTCTTCTCAACACTGTCCTTGGTACTCTAGTTTTTCATGGCTGACATAGCTTGTGTGGTATGTATAGCTACACTGAATGTTTTGAAATGAAGAAAACCATATGACTGCCAGTCCAGCAAACATCTTAAGAATTTGAAGACTGGTCATGCCAAATCCTGAGAGTTCCCCTCTTCTCACTAGTCCTATTATTCTCCTTTTCAGCTTGACTAAATTTTTGTCCCTTGTCCTTCCACGTCTTGTCTTCATTTGTTTGGCTCTGTGATAACTAGTCTCCCAAATTTCTGTACAAAAAATTTGTGTTGCACAAATATATATATATGTATATATATATATATATATATACATATATATATATATATATGATTTTTTTTTTAGAGCAGGTCATGCCCTGGCCTAAACTATCTCATAACAACCAAGGAACAAGTACATCCAATGAAAGTAGTCTAAATAAAAATATTTCTTTCTTTGAGAAAGACAATTCCTTACATAGTGTTTTTACCTAGACATCTGGAGTTATCAAGTCTTTGTATATCTGAGTCTATAATAATTGCATTTAGCAAATTACTCAAAAGATGGAGAAGTCCTTCAAGTCTGAGCAACTCCATTAAAGGTATAGGTAAGCAGAGAGTATTTATAATGAATCAATTAAGGCAGAAATTTGGTGAGTAAAGCCACTTATGTGCAGCTGCTTACAAATAAATTACTTTTTAAAAGATTTTATATATTTATAATGTCAAGGAAAACTCATCCTTCTCTGTATGCCAGGTACTTTCAAATACTCTAATCTATCCAGTAAACCTGTAAGGTGGATGTCATTCTAATAGTCCAATGAAAAAGCTGAGCATATACATACTGAGTATACTGGATTTAAAATTTCCCAGCATGGGGCCTCCCTGGTGGTGCAAGGGGTTAAAGCGCAGCACTATGAAGCTGTTTGCAGCCACTGCTGCACAAGTTCCATCCCCGACCAGGGAGGTGACCCACATGGCACAGCAGACCTCTCCTGTCTTACCCACTGCTCCCCTCAGCAGTGTATTTCAGTTCATTTGTCTGTTCTGCTCCCAGCTTTGTCTCTGGTGAACACTCTCACCCCGTGAACCTCTGGCCTGCACCCCAGTTCTTGTATGCATAAATAAATGAATCTTTGAAAAAAATGCCCAGCATGAACCAGATGTGCAGAAATGTAACTGTTTCTCTACATCTAAACTAAAAATTTTCATGAGCCCCTATTTCTGCTGATATACAAAACACCAAATATTTCCAGTGAAAAGTATTTAGTCACTTCTAAATAAAAACTTAGTTTCCTTTGTATGAACATTTTCCCACATCACTATCCCATATAGACCCTTGCTCTTTTTCTCTCCCCATTTCTAGCCCCTGAAACCCTTATTTTGTTTATTAATGTTCATTTGTTTTTATCTTACTTTTTAAAATCATCTACTATGTAAATGTCCAATATTTGTCTTTGTCATTCTGACTTGTTTTACTACACCTAATTCCCTTGAGCTTCTTCCATTTAAAAACAATTATTCTCTCCTTTATGACTGAATAGTATTTAACAGTATATCTATTCCACATCTTCCTGATCCAGTCTCTTATTGATGGTCACTTAAGTGGCTTCCTTGTCTTAACTATTGCAAATTGTGTTGCAATAAATATTGCAGACTATGTAGCTTTGGGGTTAATAGTTTTGTTAAGGGAAAGAATGTTCTGGACTCTACCCCCCTACTCCAGTGATTGGAAACTACAACTCCCAGGAGTACCAAGGAGAGAACTGTGAAGGGAGTGATTCTCTCCTCTCTCTCTCACATGGTGTGACTGGGGGCTGTCAGTTAGTTTGTTACTAGAGCTCCAAGTTAGCCCAGCTGATAAGATATTCTAGGTACCTTGTATCTCTCTCTTTCCCTGGGTTTTTCCTTTTCCTTTCCCCTTTTTGTAAACAAACCCATTATTGACCCTTTTGTGTGTGCCTAGAGAAGAATTAAATTTTAAGAGAGCGGGTGAGGACCCACAGACAGGCAGCCCAGTTCACACCGGAGTGCCCTGTAACATTTTCACATTCTTTGAATAGATGTTCAGGAAAAGGATGCTGGGTCACACAGCATTTTCATTTTCAGTTTTTTAGAATAAATCCAAATCACTTTCTGAAATGGCGCTATCAGATTACATTCCTGCCAGCTGTGTAATGGTGTTTCTCTTTCTACAAATCTTCCCCTGTACTTATTTTTAATATGTACCATTTTGTAAAGGGCTCTTTTAATATGAACCATTCTTGGGTGGGGAAAGGGGAAGAACAAAGAGGAAAGGAAGTACAATGGACCATGGTGGTGTACTATGGGTAATATGGAGTAAGATAGAAAAAAATAGCTGAAATCTGATGGAGATACATTTTGGGAGTATCCTATCCTAATATTACCTGTTTTTTTTTTAATTAAAAATTAAAATTAAGCATTTAAAATATTTTAAAAATAAAAGTTACTATCAAAAAGCACATGTGTGCCATTCTTGTGGGTGTGAGATGATATTTCATTGTAAGTTCCACATGCATCTCCCTTATTAGAAGCCATCAAGAGCATTTTCCCATGTATCTATTGGTCTTCTGGATATCTTCTTTGGTGAATTGTCTGTTCAAATTTGTATCCTATTTTTTAATTAGCTTGTTTGCTTTCTTATTTCTGAATTCTATCAGTTTTTATGTGTCTTGGATACTAACCCCTTGTCTATTGTATAATGTGTGAATATTTTCTCCCACTCAGAAAATAGCTTTTAAATCTACTTATATTTTCGCTTTCTATGTAAAATCTTTTTAATTTGAGGTAGGCTGAACTGTTTTTTGGTTTTGGTTTTGGTTTTCCTTGCCATTGGATTGAATCTCTAAATAAACTTTATTATTGTTATCATGAAACATATTGCTAACATTTGCTTCTATATATTTTATTGTTGCAGGTCATATATCTCAATCTTCAATCCATTTGGAATTTATTTTTGTGTATGAAGTTATAGATTGCTCCATCTTCCTTATTTTATGTGTGACCTTCCAGTTTTCCCAATACAGCTTATTAAAGAGACTCCCTTTCCCTATAGTATAATCATGGGTGCTTTTCCATAAATTAAGTATTGATATGATGGATTTACTTCTGGGCTTTCATTCCATTCCATTGGATCTGTGTGTCTATTTTTATGTAATTATCATATTGTTTTAGTTACTATTACTTTATAACATTGTTTAAGGTCAAGTAATGTGATGTCTCTGTTGTTCTTTTCTCAGTATTAATCTTATTGTGGGGTCTTTTATGGCTCCATGTAAATTTCAAAATTTTTTGTTCAATTTTTAAAGAATATGGTTAGTATTTTAATGAGGAATGCATTAAATTTTGCTTTAGGTAGAATAGTCTTTTGATTATATTGATTTTCCCTTTCCATGAGTATGAAATATCTTTCCATCTTCTTAGATCACTATCTAACTCCTTTAATAATATTAGTAGTTCTCAGTATACAGGCCCTTTAAACAATCTGGTTAGGTATTGGATTATTTTTTTTTAAAGATTTAATTTGTGCATACAGAACTGGGGTACAGGCCAGAGGCTCAGGGGCGGTGAGAGGCTTCACCAGAGACAGAGCGGGGAACAGAACAGGCAGATCGACGAAGTACACTGCTGAGGGGAGCAGTGGGCAGGTCAGGAGAGGTCTGCCACGCCATGTGGTCACCTCCGGGGCAGGTGGGAATGGAACTCATGCGGAAGCGGCTTTAGATTCTCAGTGCTGTGCTTTAACCCGCTGTGCCACCAGGGAGGGCCAGGTATTGGATTATTTTTAAAGCTATTGTTTGTCGAATTATTTTCTTAGTCTCCTTTTCCTCTTGTTTGTTGTTTATATATTAAAATGTAGTGACATTTTATAAGTTGATTTTATAACTTGCCACTTTACTGTATTCATTGATTTTATAAAGCCTTTTTGGTGGGGCCCTCCCTAGCGATGCAATGAATTAGGATGTACCACTGCAAGCTAGCTGCAGCTGCTTCAGTGCAAGTTCGATCCAAAGCCCTGGAGGTGATTCCCATGGCTTGGCAGACCTCTTCTGACCCGCCTGCAGCTCCCCTCAGCAATGCACTTCATTAATCTGCCTGTCCTTTTCCCCACAGTATCTTTGGTGAATCCTCTCACTTCCCCTGCACCTCTGGCTTGTACTCCAGTTCTGGATGCATAAATAAATAAACTCTTTCTTTTTTTTTTAAGATTTTTTTTTTTTTTAAGATTTATTTATTTATGCATGCAGAACTGCGGTACAGGTCGGAGGTGCAGGGGCGGTGAGAGGATTCACCAGAGACCAAGCGGGGAGCAGAACAGGCAGATCAACAAAGTACACTACTGAGGGGAGCAGCAGACGGATCAGGACTGGTCTACTGCGCCATGTGGATCTCCTCCTCATGCTGAAGTGGCTTTAGTTTCTAACCTGCTGCGCCACCAGGGAGGGCCCTCACTCCTCCTCTTTAAAGAGCTTCCACCCACATAGCCCCACAATGAGTCTTCTTTTGTCCAGTAGGGAGAATATGTTCTTCCTCAACTATCGAGAGTTTGAAGAGTATTTTTTGTGTCTTTATCTCTGCTTTGTAAAGGAAAGCCAAAGAATAATGGAGGAAAAGACTGTGTTTAAAGAATATAGTTCTAGGAGACACTATTAGGAAAACTACATTTTCCAACTATGTAGTTTCAAAATTAAGTAAGCAAAAGTGAAACAGTAATTTCAAAAGTTCCTTGCTCAACAGCAATATTTGTTTATAAGGTCAGTATCACTGTCTGATACTCTTAATATAATTGTAACAAATCAGCTGTACAGTTACTGAAATTTTAAACAAAAAGAAATTTTACTATTTAGAAAAAAATTAAGACACTGTTTTTAATATTAAGTAATTTGATACATATATTTCTTGTAAACCTTTAAACCAACATAATTTTACTTTTTTATGAATTTTTGTGCTTATATAAGTGTTGTTCACCACCTATTTAGGAATTTGTTACATTAATCCAGTCTAGTCTAGCATGAACACAGAAAAAAATGTAAAGGAAGAAATTATTTTGACAAATTATAAATTGCAAGGGAAAAGTGCTAGCCTTAAAATGTGCAAGTGAACATTGTGTAATAAATCATCAACCAAATCTTTTACCTACTTATTTAACTAAAGTTATCATAAAAGCAAACTTCATATATGAACACAAATCACATATTCAGTGTAGAGTCACTCTTTTAAATGTTATGCTCTCTTTTTTTAACCAAAGGAGAATCTCTTCTAATTTTCTAGTCATTTAATATATTTATATTTGTCTCCATTATGTTGACACACTGTATAATCTTCGAGATGAGGCATAGGACTTTTGGAAGAAATTGCCAGCAGTGCTGCATAGTTTATGCATAGAACCTGGCTTAAAAATTTAGAAACTTTGTAAGCTCTAAATTGTATAAAGTCTGAGATATGTCATTGTAGTCACTTAAATAGTAAACAGGATATTTGTGAAAACTGGCACTGTTGAATGGGGTTGAAAGAGGGTATGGATCATACAGTATTTTTCTATTTGCTTTTGTTTACTACATAGCATTGCTTCAGGACCTGTTCTTACTAAGCTTAGAAACTTGACTCTCCACAATAAATATTAAGTATCCTATGCCCTGGATGAGCAGTGAGTATTTCATTTTCAAAGGCGCAGAGCATGAGGGAGACAAATAGCAATATTTGCACAGTGCCGTGTGTCAGCAAGCCTTTCTGGAGCATTATGGTGATGTCTTTCTTCCCTAAATAATTTCAACAAAGATGCTGATGAAGACAGATTTCTATTATCTGTCTGTGATGGACCATAAGTTAAACTAGTGCTATATTTTTTTCCAAAAAATATGCATAGTTTTGACATGGTGTTTAATAGTTTTAAGCTTACTGGTGCCAAAATGAACACAGCTGTAAGAAATGATGACCCTCTCATCTTTGTAACAATATAATGGCTTCCTAATGTGTTTCCCTAACTCTGAGCATTAAGTTAATATTCCCTTGAATTTTATATTTCTAAGCTCCATCCTTTCCCTCTGCAGACACCCATGAAGAATACAGCCTTTGACCAAATGACAGAGCATAGAGGATGAAATTAGTTGCATTAAATTAGACTATGACAAAATGCCTTTCAAAATCTTTATCACATTGTTATGTCCCAGTAATTTTAACAAAATAGAATAAAAGTAGGCCAACAAAGAGAGCTCATATTTTGAAAGGAAATTTTCAAATTTTCATAGCTTGCCGGTCTTGAAGGGTCTTGTTGCATGTGGGTTCTGGCAGTGTCTAACTCAGAACCCCTACTCTGCAACTACCTGAGCTGCCTCTTGCTTAATCTTTGTATAATTAACAATTACAGAGTTTTCCTGATACACTTTCAAGTGTCTTAAGAAGCATGTCTCCATTGCTAGAGTTTGCATTCAAGAAAATAGCTTGGGTAAGAGTAAAGAAGATAAAATTTCCATGAAACATTTGTCTTTTTCTAACTATGTTTACCTAAATAGCATGCATTTTAGAAATTAGCATAATGATAAATTATCTTTTAAAAATGGAAAGCAAAATCTTGAAACTTTTATCACACTTCCTATTTCTTTTGTTTTCCTTTATTCCCCAAAAATGTCTATTTATTTTTTTAAGTTTAATTCTTCCTTGTAGAGTAGTGAGGATTAATGTAGCTATCTAAAAAATTTATGCTGAATGTGATCATAATATTGGCATTTGATTAGGTATAAGCCAATAATGTTTTGTGATTAATCAAAATGGCTTGTATTGCATTTCATATAAGTGATCTTCACAGATGGGATAGAGAATCATCAGAGTTCTCCCAAATATTTGTTTTAATGCCTTCTAGGATAAAATGACTTTGGATTCTTTTACTTTAAATCAGATTGTATTCACCAAAAAGGTGACTAGAAATAAATTTTAAAGTTCGGTCAAAAAAGACAAAACTTGCTTTTTAAATTTATAATATATTATTGAATATGCTTCACATATTTTTAGAAAGTTATCTTGTGAAATTTAACAATTATTCCTTTTTGTTTTTTGTAGAAAATTTTTCACCAAAAATATATCAAAATACACATACAGAAATAATGTTTAGGCTTGAATTGTTCTCAGTAGCAATAATGATTTTTCAGGATATTTATTGCCCTTCTTTTATTGATGTAATTCCAGTCAAATTGGCATCTGAAAACAAAGAAATTGACTTTAGTAACTAAGCTATCCGACAGGTAGCACCATCATGCAGCAAGAGAGTTCATACACAAAATATTTTCTGAATGTGGCTGTCTCTTCAGGTAGTCATTTGGGCCTTCAGAGACACAATTTCTCCAAAAATGTTGCTCACTGAAAGCTATAAAGTGAATAATCTACCTCAGAGTCACATGTGCTAGGGGAGACTCAGCAAATACAAGTCAGTTTTTTTTTTCTTTAATTTATTTATGCATACAAGAACTGGGTACAAGCCCAAGGTTGTGGGCCGGGGTGGGGGGTGGGAGGGTTCACCAGAAACAGAATCGGGAGCAGAATAGACAGATTTACTGAAATACACTGCTGAGGGGAGCGCAGGTGAGACAGGAGACGTCTGCTGTGTAATGTGGGTCACCTCCCTGGCTGGGGATCAAATTTGTGATACAGTAACGACAGATAGCTTCATAGTGCTGCACTTTAAATCCCTCGTACCACCGGGGAGGCTCCTGTTGATGATTTTATAATAATACTGAATTAGAAATTTGAAATAAGCTGTGCAATTCACCTAGTACACTTCTAAACTGAATAATATTTGACATGTGTTAAAATAGAATGATTTGATTTTTCTTCTAGGAGACCTGGTGAGCCTCCACTGATAAAAGGTTGGCTTCCTTATCTTGGGAGATCCCTGGAATTAAGAAAAGATCCCACAGGTTTCTTAAAGTCTCTTCAGATGCAATATGGTGACACTTTCACTCTTCTCCTTGGAGGTAAGCAGTGCTATATAACTACCCTACCTATGTCATCATTTCTCCTTCGTTCCTTAATGTTGTCATAACTTTTCTGCACAAAATATGGAATGTTTGCTCACTATTGTCTTGTTTAGAAAACTAATGAAGAAAAAAACATTTTTTAGTATGGTGATCCACACACAAATACAAATTAAAGAACTCTTTGGAGGGATTCCTAGGGAACCCTACTCACCTGCCAGCACTTTGGTTTGATTTAATCTGGTGTGAGGAGTGGTTAAGAAAATAAACAGAAAGAAAAATCTAGAATGTATTAATTTTAACTTTATTTCTAGAAAATTGGCGTATAGGGACTGGATCAGATAGTCAATACAAGAGGTTCCTATTCTTCCTCTATTTCCCTGATGATGGTTTCTCCCATTATTATAATTGTATATCAGTATAGCACATTTAATACAACTGATGAACCAATGTTGATACTTTATGAAAAAGCTATAATGTGTATTAGGTTTTGACAAAGGCAAGTTTGGGTTTTAACAGATTTATCTTGGCATGTGTCCACCATTACAATATCATAAAAAATGACTGTATCACCCTAAAAATCCTGTGTGTTCCACATAGTCATTCCCTTTCATTTAAACCCTTTGCAACCATTGATTTAAACTGTATTTTAAATTTTGAAATGTTTGTTATGCTTCTAATGTTAATAAAATGTTTATGAAATAAGAAAAGAAACCATAGGTTTATTACCTACCCCTTTACTACCTATCTCAACATCATAATGCTGAAAGAGAAGCTAAGACATTCCTTGTTCACCTTCTTGTACAGTCCATGTTCTCTAGCTGAATCAGCTGTCTATTGCTGCATAACAAATCTTCCCCAAATGTTATGTCTTAAAGCAACAACTGGTCTTGCCCGTGTCACTTATGTGACTTGAGTCATCTAGATGCTTCAGTGGATGATGGTCCAAAATGGCTTCCTTATCCACATAGTCTTCATCTTCAAGAAGACTGCCTTCTAGGCAGCTAGCATCCCAACAGAGCAAGAGGAAAAGCCACACAATCTCTTGAGGTTACGAGACCTCATTTCTACCATTTTCTATTAGCCAGATGAAGTCACAGTCCAGTTTAGAGTCCAGAGTGGAGATATAGACTCCACCTGTTCCTAGGTATAGTAGCAGAGTCACTCTGTTTGCACGTATAGAGAGATACAAAGAATGCGTTACGGTCTTCTTTGTACAGAGTCCTCGACACAAGTTTATCACTTGAGCTTCTTATTCAATTTTTTGCTATACTAGAAGGCCAATCACCACAGACTAGATTATCCATACACTTTTTTCCTGTGATTTCGGGTTGGGTATGCCAGTGAGAGGGAAGGAAAGGACCATGTTCCAGTTCCAGTTCCCCTGTAACACAGTTCACTTTCCTTCATAAAAAAATTCAAGACATCAGGTAAGAAATAATTCAGACCTAACATGCCTACCCAATGTACCCATGTTTCACAACTACTCTTACCTTGATTTTTGTAATTTCAAAGGCTAATCAAGACAACCCATTGACTTATTTCAGATTACACTTATTTTACACTTACTTTGCTTTAGACTGGCATTTCATTATTTTTTCATTTTTTCTCTTTTTTTTTTTTTTTTTTTGTCTCTTGAGTCCTTAAGTCCTTACCACTGATTTCTAATCATGCTTACACTTTTTCTGTTTTTTCTTCCTAGTTACTTTTTACTTTTCTTCCTCTTTTTATACCCAGAAGTACTGGGATGTAGACAAGCGGTATAAAGGTGAGAGGATTCACCAGAGACAGAGTAGGGAGAAGAATAGGCAGATCTATTGAAATATATTGCTAAGGGGAACAGTGGCAAGACAGGAGAGGTCTGCTGGGCTGTGTGGGTCAGCTCCCTGCTGTGGAATATGAAGTGATAACACTAAGACTTAACAGTAGGCCAATATGGAGCCCCTAGTTACTTTTCACTATTTTTTGTTTGTTTGTGTCTTTTGCATCCAGATATTTCAAGAGAGTAAGCATATGCTGCGTCTGCTTCCTTATTTCCTTGAGCCCTCACTATAGTTCATCAATCTTCTTGTTTGCTGAGGTCATTAATGGACCCACACCTTCCTGGAAATCTTTATCTTGTTTGACCATACTTATACTTCATTTACTCTGAAAGTTGTTATTTCTTTACTAACACAGCACTTCCTGATTCTCTGATTCCATGAGATGTCTTAGCTAGGGGTTCTTTACACATGCTTCTTTTTTGTTTGTTTGTTTGTTTAACCCCTTTTATCTTCCTCTGACCAGCCTAGAATTTTACATTCTATTCCTCAAGAGTCAGTAATTTCTATTTACTGTAGTCACTTTGCCAGGTTTCAGAAGCAACATTTTATAGAGTGACTTCATTTCAGTGTTACCATTTTAATGTAATTGGGAGAAAAAAAACTGATCCAACTGGATGAAGTTGTCAGCATGGCTGATTTCTCACATGAACAGGCAGTATTCAGTTCATCACAACACACTCCTTTGTCTAGAAGCTGGCAGGTCTCTCCTAACAATAATTGTCTGCACGCTGATTAGAGAAAATTGATAGAGAAAAATTCTTAAAAAAAAAAAAAGATTTATTTATTTATGCACACAGAACTGGGATACAGGCCAGAAGTGCAAGGGTGGTGAGAGGATTCACCAGAGACAGAGTGGGGAGCAGATCAGGCAGATGGATGAAGTACACTGTTGAGGGGAGCAGTGGGCGAGACAGGAGAGGGCTACCATACCATATGGATCACCTCCAGGGCTGGGGATCGAACTCGCACTGGCATGGCTATAGCTAGCTTGCAGTGCTGCGTCCTAACCCATTGCACCACCAAGGAGGGCTGACATAGAAAAATTCTATACACCTTAGAACTCAAAGAAATGTAGTATATAACATAATTTTCACAAGGTTCCTGAGATCAGGTCTCTTCTTTTCTCTCCAGACTCTTCTCTTGATACTATTTGTCTTGTGCTTAACTACCTTTAAAACACCAACTTGTTTGAAATTTCCTCCTCAAATGCAAAGCCTTTGGTGCCTCAGAGGTTTCTCTTGTTATTCTTTCTGCCAGAATGCTGTTCTTCACCTGAGTCACACAGACTTATGTTTTGAGTTCAAAGTGACATGTCACTTCTTCCCAAAACTCTTTGCTGGCCATCTCCCCTCTGCTGTTTTTGCCTTTTTTTTTTTTTTTTCAGACTTCAATTACTTCCATGTCAGCTCTGTCATAGCAGTTAACAGATTGTGAATTCATTGCAGATTCACTTATCTATTTCCCTTCATTATTCTTTAACTCTCCATTGCCAATATTTAGTCTAGAATTCAACAATGATTGGTTCATAAATATTTGATGAGGAAACTCCCCATGCCTTGGAGCTGATAAAATATTTACTGTAATACAAATAGAAGTCATAACTTACTTTTATTCTAACTGAACTTTTGACTTCATAATAAAGAACTCTATTCTTTACTTTTAAAAATTCACTTTTCCTTCAAAAAATCAAACTTTACATTCTAATGAGTAGATACAATAAGTTATTAAAATCTTCAGTTTTCCTTTTTCATATATTATACAAAAATAATGCAAGATGATTAAGCAGAAACTTATGGCAGATTTGAGTAATTTTATTCATTTAAAAAAATAACAACTTCTGCTTACACTTGATGTCTTAATCTCAGATACTGTGAAGCTTGAATTTCTAATGTCTAAATAATTTAGCCACGGTTATGTTTTTGAATTCAAGATTAGGCAATAAACAGTTAAATATGTACTACTACTTCCTTTAGATTCACTAGAATTTGAATAAATTCCTGTTCAGAAATTCTGTTAACAGATATGATTCTATCGGTCAGTGTAAAAAATGGTTCATTTGGAAAATGTGAAATGAGGAATACTCTTCTATCCTGTCCCATAATGTAATTTCAGTTGAGCATACATTCTTGTATGATGAGCAAATGATTGTTGTCCCAAAAAATCTCAAGGGACATGGATGTCATCTTATCAAGAAATTAAAAGGTACATCTTTTCATGAGAAACCATGTAAATTTGTGACCTGTCACAGAAAGTAGTTCTCTAATTGGTTTTGTGTGGTGATGCAATGGAATCATTTCCCCTAAATGTCACCCCCGCAAAGCACCACTGTACATCATTGTCAACAGCTAGTGAAATTTTTCTAATAAGAGGGGAGTGTATGATATGGTCATCCTCATAAGATGAAATTCTTCTGGTGAGTATTTTCAGCTTGAAATAAAAAATTCTATTGACAATCCATCTAAATATGGGAATTGAAAACTTAAATGTCTCAAAGATATCTTTCAAATTCCAGTTTATTTCATTTGTTGGTTGGATATTTCTGTTCCAAAGACTCAAATGGTTATTCTGAATTCCTATGGATGTGTCAGTATAACAGCAAATATCTGAAATAAAAGCATCAAAATTCAGTTTTTAATGATCCAGTCGTCAAACTTCTAATATATAAGATATCAAAGTAAATTACCTGTTATTTTTTTATTTTTTTTAACATTTACTGACATAGTTTGTACATATCTTCTCTTTATTAAAGAAGTAATTTTAGAGGAAGGAAAAAGACTGTTAAACTGGTAAAGGATCATGTGCGGATGACTCAAGAATGCCAGAGTGAATCTCTTAAGAAGGGAAAAGAATGAAATTATTGGCAAGGGGAGCATTAAAAAGTTTATAACCCCATTTCAAATTTACTGCTCAAAATGATAATTTTACATACACACACACACACACACACACACATCACATATATTTGCATTAGTGAGCCCCATTTTGATATATATATCTTAGGCAAATACAAACTCTGAAATTCCTGAAATCAATATTTCATATCAGCTGCTGACAATATTCTTTTCATTTTTGAAAATATGGCAGAGGATTATTTCTATCTTGTGATCTTTGTGACACTTGGTATTCATTTACATAAAGTCACACTGGGACAAAAGTTAATTTTTCTCTAAGAATACACAGCCTTCAGAATAACTTTTCAGATTTCCTTTGTTAAGAAATTTAAATTCATTTTATGAATGTATATGTGTTTTCCTAACTGTCTGATTAAAGATTACAAAGAAACTCTGGTTTTGCATCTCACATTAGCAGATGGTGGACAGATGGTTTAAATTAATATTAATTTTGGAAAACTTAGCCTAAATTGTTTATACTGAAGATTAAAAGTTGGAAAGCCAGCTAACATCTCCAGGGTTATTAGTACTTCCAAACTCACTTGAAAAGTAAAATCCAGAAAATCAAAATGTCTACTTTTAAAGCAATCCACATCTTAATCAGAAAGATAGCAGATAAAACAAAGCATCTTGATATTGAAGAAAATTAAAATAAGTATAAGAAGACAAAGTACAGACTCTGGAGTTAAATGAGCCTTGAAGAGAGTGACAATTTCCTCTAAAATTGCTTTAAACTAACCAACAGGAATTTTTTTAAAGAGACTTGTATACAACAACTGCTTATATTTATTTAAAAATTATTTATTAGTAGCTGATTGCCACACAGAAATAATTTCCCAGCTTTTATTTCTTGTCTTTGAAGTTAATTCCTAATGTCTTCCCATCACCTCACCTCCTAGGTAAGAGAGCAAGACAAAGAGACAGAGATGATGTATTGCTGAAAAATGGTGACAAAATCTCTAACATGCACTCAGTCTCTATTTCAGTAGCTCCAAGCACCTGTGGGTCTTGTTGTCATGGTTTAATATAGCTTTGTCTTTCCATTAAGATTTTGATGAATGTAGAAAACAGGTAGAAAAAAATTAAAATGTTCTCTAAAAATTATGTTTTACAACCTCTTCTGTGTTATTTCAAATTTACTGAATAATTTAAAATAACACTAAAAATATTTAATCAAATTCTTTCATTTAGTGAAAGGAGAAATGTATGAATAGTCACCTATGAAAATATGTAGTTCTATCTTAAATTTTATCTTTTGCAAAATAAGACAATTTACTTTTTTTCAATTATTTGTGAGGCAGATGCTGGCAATTTTATTTAATTAACATTTTATGATAAAGCAGGTGTCATAAAATATGTCCAAATCCAGTTGAGTTCTCTATGTTCTCCCCAGGGCAAAAACAAAAAGCCCAGTTTACCTTGTAGATGAAATTTTGGGATCTAACCAAATGAGCAGTAACTGCTAGCTTTTCCTTCACTCCTAGATTGGTCTACCTTATTAAGTCAATCAAGGAAAATAGAGTAAATAAAATTCAAGTCATATGGGTTTATTTTTAGAAAAAATTATAGCTCGTGTATATTGAAAAATTTTATTATAAAATTTTATAACAAAACATCCTACTTCTAGATTATGTTGAAAATTATACAAAATTTTATCCCATATCTAGTTCCAAGTTGAATATAATTTTTGTGATACTGTCTGATTCACCTTGAATACCAAATGAGAAGTTGTTCATCTAAGAAAGCTCCGACTCATATATGTACTTACACAAAGGAATGAAGAAGTAAATAACAAAGTGTAGATATTTCTACAAACCAGAAAGGAAAGATTTGTTAAGTCCATTACTGAATGCTATCTGCATAATACTACTAATTAGAAGAAATCTTAAAAAGTACTCTAGTGAGAAGAAATAAGCCCGTGTAAGGAAAAAGATCAGTGACTTCTTTTCTAGGCTCTGCCACTAAACTATGGCTGTCTGTGGGACCTCCCTGGTGGCACAGGGGCTTAAGTCTCAGCACTGTGAAGCTATCTGCAGCCACTGCAGCCTGAGTTTGATCCTTGGCCAGAAAGGTGACCCACATGGCTCAGCAGACCTCTCCTGTCGGCCTGCTACTCCCCTCTGCAGTGCATTTCAGTAGATCCACCTGTTATGCTCCCCACTCTCTCTGGTGAACCCTCTCACTTACCACACCTCTGGCCTATACTACAGTTCTTGTATGTATAAATAAATAAATCTTAAAACATATAAAATATGGCTGCATGCTCTTGTCCTTAACCTCTCTTGACTTCAGTTTTCTTAAATGATAAATGGTGGTAGGAATGGGGGCGGAAGGGGTGGAGATAGGAACTCTCCAAGTTCCTGTCCATTTTGTGAAAGACCATGATGTGAATGTTTTCCTTAATGTCTTTTCTTATAAGTATCACTTGGAAGCCCAGGTCAAAAATAGAATTTGTAAGTCAAACCTCCAGTGCACCTGAAGCAGAACAAGTAAGAATTTATGTCTTTAACCAGTACCCTAAGTCTTTTACTCACTTCATTTTGGACAACACTGGACATATGTCGGCACCTCACTATGTCCTTGCTGATAATTCCATGCAGACTAGAACAAATTCCACTTTGTGCTTCCTTACTTCTGTTCTATTGCTGTTTATAAACATACGATGATATCTTTACATCTTTATATCTCAAGAGTAAAGAAGTCCAACCATTTTTCTGTGTTTCAACAGATGCTGAATGAATGCATGAATACATGGAAGATTGTACAAATGGATGATTTCTAGTTTGGAGTCTTGTTTCAGTTATGAAACCATTATTAGGTGGCCATGGATGTGTTACTTAATCTGCCTGAGCTACTGTTTTTATCATCTATGAAAATGAAAATGCTGGCATTTGTGAATTGTTAAAGTATTAAACATTCATTTCTCAGTACCTATTCATACCACATCTTCATCTCAGTTAAAATATATCCAACCAGCGTTAAAATGGTGCCAAGTACGCAAAAGCTCTATTTGGAATGACATCTTAGCAGTGTGAATAGTTTGTTTTCTGTTTGTATTATTAAGGAAACGGATTTTTATTAAAGATTTTGAACCTTTCAAGATGTGAGATATTAAGGTCTTTCTAATTTTGATTAAAGACTTGTAAACTTTAGGCATTTGATTCTTGTTTGTTTGTTTGTTTGTTTTGCTCCCAAATGACCTCATATTCTCATTTATTTCTTTTAGGAAAGTACATAACATTTATGTCAGACCCTTCATACTTCTCCTCAGTGATGAAGAACCACAAAAAATTGAGCTTTCAAGTGTTTAGTAATAGGCTGCTAATGAAAATGTTTTCCATCAAAAAGTTGGCAAGCAATGAGGATCTGAAGAATGACATTCATCTCTGCTATCAATATTTACAAGGAAAATATATGGACTCACTTATGGAAAACACCCTAAAGAGTCTAAAACAAGTTTTTGAACCACAACTATTAAAAACAACAAATTGGGACACGTCTCATATTTACTCTTTCTGCACCTCACTAATAGTGGAGACCTCATTTTCATCCATATATGGAAGATATACTGCTGGTGATAGGAAAAAATTTATTGCTCAGCTAGAAAATGACATTTTAAAATTTGATGAAAAGTTCCCAGTTTTTGTATCAGACATACCCATTGTTCTTCTACGAAGTGTCAAGTCTATGCAAAAGAAACTTATAGAACGGTTTAGACCAGAAAACTTAACTAAGTTACAAGGGTGGTCAGAAGTTGTTCAAATGAGGCATAACGTCTTAGAAAAATACTATGAGCCTGAGGACTTTGAAATGGGAGGTAAGAAACTTTTGAATGATTACTTGTCTAAAATGAAATAATTTATAATAGACCTTTGATATAAAAAGACAAAATGGTGACCTTGAAATTTTTTATGTTCTTTCTAATTGGCTAATGATAAAATGTTTTACTCTGAAACAACCCTCTGTGATAATTGATTTTTTTTTTTTTTTTGCTGAGGTGGTAAAACAAGATACTTAATGGTGATAATGAGAAAGAATATAACTAAGCTGCATTTTACTCCTCTTATCTCATCCTCTACCTCCCCACCCCCACCCCCCACCCCCCCGCGCGCACACACACACACACACACACATTACATTTTAAACTATTCTCATTAAGCAGAAAATTAGACTTCAGAAGCCTATTGGTCCTCATTAGCATGCACTGATCCTTGGCTGGGTCTGTGTCCTAACATCTTTTAATTAGCACACTGCAAATCTAATCAGTGTAATAAACGCTATTAATCTTCCTTTTCACTTATTTTCTCCCAGCACATCATTTTGGCTTTTTCTGGGCCTCTGTGACAAACACTCTTCCAACAATGTTCTGGGCGATGTATTATCTTCTACGGCACCCAGAAGCTATGGCAGTGCTGCATGACGAAATTGACCATTTGCTGCAGTCAACAGGTCAAAAGAAAGGGTCTGAATTTTCCATCCACCTCACCAGAGAACAATTGGACAGCCTGGTCTACCTAGGTAATTTATTTTTATCTGTTATGAAGAAAAGAATGTACCTTTCTACAAACTCAGTTTATCACTCAAAGCTGTTTACCAAGAGGTGGAGGACACAGCTGCCTAATTGACATAATAACACCCATTTACATCAATTATAAATTATGTAGTTTATAGCTGTAGATACTCTCATTGCATGTAAACATAAAGATCTGGGTAATTAACTATGCAAGGTATGCAAAAGGCTAAACCAAAGCTTTGCAATTATTTGGAAAAAGAAGTTTATGCCTATTAAGTCATTTGATTCTAAGCATCTGTTGGTGTGCTAATACTTTCCAAACACTGCTGCATTATCTTGACAAGAAAGGTATTTGGGGGTTGAAAAAGAAAGTATTTCAGAAAGGTAATTCGTATGCAAAATGTATTTATTCTTCCTAAAGTGGTACCTGTATTTTCAGGTAGAGTTTGGAATATGAGTCTCAAAAATTTAGTAAATATGGTTTCTATGCAAGACCATGATTTAAACTCCCTGTTGGTGCAGTGGGTTAAAGCTCAGTGCTAAGAAGCTGGCCACAGCCACTTCAGCAGGAGAGTTCCATCCCAGGCCATGGGGGTGACTCACGTGGCACTCCAGATCTCTTTCTCACCTGCTGCTTCCCTCAGCAGTGTACGTTGTCAATCTGCCTGTTCTGCCCCTGATTCTGCCTCTGGTGAAACCTCTCACCACCACCCCTGCTCCTCTGTCCTGTACCCCCCAGTTCCTGTATACAGAAATAAATAGATCTTTAGAAATAAAATAAAATAAAATAAACCCACTGGAGGTAGGGAAGGGAGAGGGGGAAATTACAAACTACTCCATGGGAAATGTCAGTATTTGATAAAATATTCGCTAATTCATGAGACATGCTTGGTCATGAAATTTCAAATTTTTATGGTCAGGAGTGGCTGGGATTTTTTTGTTTGTTTGTTTTTTGTTTTTTATTTTTCATTTATACCAGTGACATGACCTTTTGACAGTAGTGGACTGTACTCTCCATTACTGGTTTTGATAAGACTCCATTACTATTATGTGAATGAACTTTTATTCTGAGTAAAATTCCATTATCAAGTAGTTGTCCACTTTTCCTACTGCACTGACATTTCATCCTATGGTATTGGTTATTATACAATATTCCAAGTCCCTTTGAACAAATATAGAGGTAAATTTGTATGTGTGTGTGTTCGTCTATGTGTATATGCATGCATGCATGTAAATTCATTTATATATTTCTTAATTCTTTTGACAACATAAGGAAATGTTCAACTGGGTAAAAATGATGTTGACTTCATTTTTTGTGTGTTTTTTTAGATACATTCTAGGTTCTTTGATAGGAACATCTATAGGTCTGCAACGATGCTAATCACTGGTTGGCATTAATGACACAAGTGCCCCAGAGACTAGACTGTTTCTGCTGCTTAGAATGAGACCCACAGGATGCCATAGTGGGAGCTTGTCTTATTATGGTAATTGAGTAGCTTGTTCAATCAACTAGGAAAATGTATCACCTTGTAGTTTGGTGTTTGGGGCATAAATTATCAAAATACATTCATTCAGAGAAAAAAACTACTACCAACATTATTAAAACACTTTTTTTTTTATTTTCTTTTGCATAATTATTGGGAATCAAAATTTGCAAAATAATTCTAGGTAGTCTTTGGCTTATCATATGATAAAATAAGCAAGTTCTAGAGCACAGTTTGGATTTATTTAAACCCATGAGTAGAGCCCTTGTAAGTGTACAGTTCACTTATCATCAACCTGAATAGTAATGCCAAGTATGTGGTAGATCCTTTAGCAATCTAGAAGGTAGATCTCTGTTCATTATGACATGGGTACCAGCAGAGGCCAGTGTTGTTCATTGTGAGAATTTTATCTAAGAAAATACTGTACACTTTTTCTTTCACAAGATTGGAAATCTTTAGACCAACTGAAGTAAATTTCCTCTGCCTCTAGTCATGGCTAAATCATGAGTATCTCTGTACATCACAGAGTAGAAAGTATCTATGCAAAGGCAAGATTTGCAGAAATAAATGCAATGTACCCCATGGTATAAACGTATGGGCTTTCCTTCTTGTCTCCTTCAGGAAAAAATTCCATGTGTTTTCTAAGTACACTTCTTTTAAAAAATATTTCACCAAGAAAGAGAATTTTGACATTACAATATACGGAAAGGTGACGTTTTTAAACAGAGATTTCAATGTTGGCAAGCATTGATTATTAAAACAAGGTAGAAAAGGGAACATGAAGGACTCTTAGACAAACAGGTGTCTTATTCCTGAACAAGAACATTACCTCTTGATTAGAGAGATCACAGGCAAACCCCAGTGAGGCCGAGGTTTATAGTGACAGTGAGGGCTCAATCTTGCAGCTCACATGTATCAAATCTCCTCAATTTTGACTTAATGTCAGCAGGAGTTGAAATGTTTAACATTGGTAAGATTTTGAAAAAGCAAGTGTGTTTCAGTAATTTCAAGCAATCACCTGCCCTAAGATTTGCTATGACCCTAAGTTGTCCAAGGTGCTTTAGAATTTTTAGAACCATCTACTCTTTTCATTTAGACAAACAAGAATTCAACTGTTTATTTATTTATAAACATTTATTTATAAAGCATATAGAACTGGGGTACAGGCCAGAGGTGCAGGGGCAGTGAGAGGATTCACCAAAGACAGAGTGGGGAGCAGGACAGGCATATTGACTGAAGTACATTGCCAAGGGGAGCAGTTGATGGGTCAAGAGAGGTCCACCACATCATGTGGATCACCTCCCTGGATAGGGATTGAACTCATGCTGACACAGTTGCCTTGAGATTCATAGTGCTGTGCTTTAACCCTGTACCACTAGGGAGGGCCCTCAACTTTGTATTCTATATGTTTATGTAACATACTCTAGAAATTCTGTGTGTCATGACCTCACTAAAATTTTATAACCATTATGTTTTAATCTACAATTTAATTTAAATCCTATTTTATAATAATAATAAATACCATGAATTTCAAATAACTGTTACATGGGGCCTAAATCTCAATAGTAAGAGTTGTCTATGGAATCTAAGTTTGAGAAACTCAGAGAAAAGTAAGAATTTCCAGCTTTTCCCAAAACAAAAACCTAAGGGAGAGATAAGATTTAGAACTATAGGTTTTTAGTATAGGAAAAACAATAAAGGAGAAAAAATGATTCAAAAATAAGATAAAAGATAAAATCAGGGCCTCTCTGGTGGCACAAGGGGTTAAAGCACAGCACTATGAAGCTATCAGCAGCCACTGCAGCAGGAGTTCAATTCCAGGCCAGGGAGCTGACCCACGCAGCAAACCTCTCCTGTCTCATCCACTGCTCCCGTCAGCAGTGTATTTCAGTACAGCTGCCTATTCAGCTCCCCACTCTGTCTCTGGTAAATCTTCTCACTCACCCTGCCACCTGAATACCTCTCCTGTCTACTCCCCAACTCTTGTATGCAAAAATAAATAAAATAAGTCTTTAAAAAAAAAAGCTAAAATCAAATCAAGTAGTGGAAATTCTCAAAATTGAACTTTTGACAAATGCATAGCAACTAATCTTATTGACAACTACCTCTTACTTCAAGGTATACCTGCATAATATATGTGATTAAAAATAAATTTTTGTGTTTGACAAATTATACCTAAAACTAACCCATGTCTTACTTACCTAGCTCTTAACTCATTTTTCAGTAACATCTTGGTCATCTGTCATCTCCCTCTTGCAAATTCACACATACACACAATAAACCTTCATTCTGCTGAAGCCAAATTGAACATTTTTTGGTTGCTTTCAATGTATTTTACTCCTTCTTGTCCCCAAACATTCACACATACTTCCCTGAACAATTTGCATTATCTTCACATCTGTGTCCAACTAGCTGAAGCCTTTCTGCTGTCCAAGTCTGAGTTTAGTCTTCCTCCTAGCCCACAGCATAGTGAACTTCCAATATAATTGCATCTATTCTGCTGTATTTCAATTGCCCGCTTGCTTACCAATGTCCATCACATTTTGAGTTTCTTTAAAGACAGGCACTAACCTTTCTTATCATTATCTTTGCAATGACCAGTACAGTGGCCTAATTTATGGAATAAAAATAATATTATCTATCATTATCACCAAGATTATGTTTTACCTAAAGCCATCCCTATGATGTTATTATTGCTTTCAACATTTTGGATTCTTTGGGAACCAAACTGGTAGCAAACTTTACTCCATAGGACTGTTCTTTCTGTATATCATATATGAAAAGAGCAAACAAATTCTAATTAAGAACATAAGGCAGGACAACAAGTTAAAGCAATACATTATGAAGCTCTCCAAAACCACTGTAGCATGAGTTTGATCCCCAGTCAG